ATTTCAAAAACCGGATCTTTAAACTAAAATTGGGCCCAAACCAATGTAATATTCGGAATCAGGACACTCGATTACCTATTGTCCACTAAGTTTTGGACCAAAAGCTTCTGGACAGTTGGGGGCCTTCTCTCGTGAGATAGCGTCTTATCTAATTCTAAAATAAAAGTATGTTTTTACGAAAGCAAATTCGTTTAAATGGTAATAAAAATGCATAGCAACAGTTTACATTTGGATTTCAATAAATTTGAATATTTAATTTTTTGTTCATCAGTTATTATAATTTACATACTCTAGACGTATACAAAAAGATATAAGAGTACATGACCATTATTAATGATCAGCATTCTCAGTTTTCTTATGCTAATAGAAACGATTGTCATCGTCGATCAGTATTGTTTCGACAAACTCGAGAAATAAAACGTTCAAATCAACAACAACTTCTTCTCAGGTCCAATGACCATCAAAATGTTGAGTCAAGTGCTTTAGGTGATGGGATTAGAATAATGGATCAGGCATACATACCGGGACAGAATAATACTAGTGCGTTATTATACAGTGATTACATTTATCTCGTTTATTTATTTATTTTATCAATATTTTACGCTTATTATATGGCATTGCTATTGCATGATGCAGCCAAACAAATTAATGATAATGAACTCATTAATGAAGATTATGACAGAATACCAAAACTATTTTGGATTAGACGGACGAGTACTTAGCATGTTGTCGCATTTGATAATCGTCGGTCTTCTTATCAAGTCGACTGGGTGAAATGAGAGGAAACTTATGACTTTTCCTTTTCAGTCTTCCATATACACCTCTCTTTCGAGTCAACTGTTCATTCCAGCATTTTTAATCATAGAGATCTCAGAAAAAGATCGTTCAAATATCAAACAACTGTATATGAACTGCTGATTTGATTGCATGTAATCGACATCACTGTCATTAGCTGAACACGATGGATGTATTCGTTGCTCGAATAATATATCGCTAATACAACGGTGGCTATCTATGAGATCAGTCGTTTTTCCTGACAGTTTATCTCCTTGTTTATTTTTTTCTATTAATGTTATTCTTCATCTCGTTCATTCTGTTATAACGAATACTATATTTATACACAAATATTTATTATTGAAGTATAAACTTTCTATTACAAGGCAGAAAATACTACTTATAAGGAAAAAGAACTTCAATCAATAGATCGATCTGGAACATACTGCGATACACAAAAATTTGTGTGCACGTTCCGAGACCCATCTTCTCTAATAGAGCTTCTCAAGTTAAGTAAATGAACCTATGTAGGAGCTTATGGGACGATAGACGAAAGGGGTCACTTTTACTCCAGAGCCGCGTTATAGTTCTATCTTCGCCAGCGAAACTATTAAATGATGTATACATTATTTTGATTCATACGTCGTCCACCCGTACACTTCCGTTACTCACGTTTTTACTCTAAATAGTTACATTTTTGTACTAATGATAGTAAGTCGAATTATCTATATTGTTTATGAATTACAATGATTTAGATGAGAATCAATCTTGTTTAGTAACCTAAACATCGTGCACATATGATACATTGATATATGGATGATCTGTTTGTTCCTTTCAAGGACGTCTAATGTTTATATATTTTTTGCTCTATACAATGAGTATTTTCAATATTATTCGAACAAACAAAGAACAATAGCATAATTTGGCTACAGTTGCTCTGTATAATTAAGCAATTGGAGAGGATACAAAAAAAATGACATTATTCCTTTTGTATATGTTATCTAAATTGTATTGTGAACATTTGTTTGGCGTTTAACATTGTGCAGAACTTACAAAGAAATAGTAAATCATCTAGTAGTTGTCTATTTTGTGTTTTAAATTAATCACGATGTTTCATATCCAATACATTATTCTTTCTTTTTCTCTAAGAGAGATTTATTTTTAGTGGTCGAATCACCTTGCTATTGAGAAACAAAGGAGAGGAGAAACAAGAAAGAATGAGTTAATCACAGATAAGAAAGCATTAGTAAAAATAAGTTTTTATAATTCAGAAAAATCATATCAAAATGAAATTCTTTTGATCGACAGACCAATACAAGTCATTTAGATGACTAACAAGACATATTGTGTTTTGTATGCAATAACAAGACAAATGGCTATATCATCGTAATTATTTTATTGACAACAATGACAGGTTTATTTTATCAAATACAATTAACAGTTTGATGGAATGAAGAAGTACGCCTTTCATTTCAGATTGAAGACGAATAATAAATGTCCCATGTTGACTTGATCTTTTAAAAACAATGGACTATGTCAATGTCAAAAAATGAATAGCAGAAACCACCAACTAACTATAAAAATTCATTTCTATTATTGAACTGTGTGCATATTAAATCGATTATTATTATTCACACGCAAGTTATTTAATTATGAAATAGAGGAGGCGGAAACAATATGTTTGAAAATTAATTTTATCATTCACACAATTCTTAGACACCGTCGTACAGAATACTTGAATAATAAAAAATGCAGTTTTCTATTAAAAAAACAAATTAGAGCATCTTAACATAGAAAGACATTCAATTTTCTTCATATTTCTAGTGAGACTACATTACGATATTGAAAAGTGATGCTTTCCTTGCTGTGAGATATGCAGAGATCATTAATGATTTTTATGAGTTAATTAAAACGTTTCTCTTTTGAATAAACAAACATTAACCAATGTGTCAAACAAATTAATCTATCTCAACATTCTCTTTCGCACTTGTCAAATAAAAACGAAAATGAAAATTAATCATTTTATATTAAATCCTTGCCTATTAAATGATTACATCATTTCGAATTGACAAGTCTTAAAGAAAGAGGTAGAAAGAGAGAGACGAGCGATCAACAGTGTATTATCGGACACAACTAAAAGTAAACATTATTTATGTATGTCGACAGTGATTTTAATCGAAATTTTCTTCTTTTCTCCATTTTACTTATTTATATAAGAGGTACTTATGAAAATAAATAAAAAATTAACAAGTACAGCGCATGTTTAAACAAATTAATTATTAAGGTGACGCTGAATAACCTTATATTAAAAACTTTTTCAATTTTCTAATTGAATAAGAGGTATTAATGGCTCTTCTGTATGATAAAAAATAAAAAAGTTTTGTGTTTGTCATGCAAAATGAAATGAAAAATTTAGAAAATAGATTAAAACTTCTTGTTTTTTTCTTTAACAATTGTAATGTATCTTCATTAACCCTGATCCGACCAGCTATGATATGCCCAAATTCTACCGGTTTCATTCGGATACTGCCTGAACACAATGGTTAGATTTTACCGATTCACTTTATATATCCACTGAATGACAATCGGATGTACTATCAATATGAACTGATTGCATCCACTCATTATTTATCTGGCAGAGAAGCAAGACATATCTTCAAAGCACTCGTTTTCGTCTGGGGTTCGCACGGATCCAAAATGGACAGCTCAAAGTTAATAGCTAAACGGTATATTATGTATTATGTCAAAGAATTTCAAACTTGGCGTTTTTTTATCTAATCACAATATTAGAGTCATTATTCATTTTGATGATCTCATAGAGATATGATAGTTGGCTCACTCTCATCTTGTTCTTTTGTGTGTATATTGCTGTTGTTTATAGAGATACGTACGTCTAAAATAGAACATACATTAGTGAAGACGAAATGTAATATTTCACCTAAAGCTATTTAGTGTCTAAGATAGATCGTTGGACAAAGAGTTTTAACTTTATATTCAAATAATAATCATTTCAATATTGTTGTCGTTTTTAATCGTTTGATTCATAGTGAATGAAGATATCAAACTGGTGAAGAAAACAAAAAAAAAAGAATGAAGTGAAAAGGAGAAAATTAATTAAGCGTTAAATTTAGACTGATTTAGTGTCGAGATTTAAATGATTGAAAGAGATGATAAGACAACAATATTAGACATAATGCATTAAGAAAATGAAAAAGTCATTTTTATTTTTATAAAGAAAATATCTTATTCATTTATTTCTTGTTTTGATTTTCTTTTGATCGATATTTTCTTCTGGTTAAGATCTCTATATATAAAATAATGAGCGAGTTTGACAATCAAGTAAAAATCTTCTAAGAGAATGTGTATATTAACGTGCATGTGTATTTCATATGCTCAAAACAATGAGATTGATTTAAATATTGTTAAAAAGAAAGTGTATTTTAAAAAGGACAGTAATTGTTTTGATCCCGTAAAAAATTACAGAATGGATCCCGTATACTAAAATTTCGATAAAAATAGTAAAAATGATTACCCGGATTTAGAAAAAAAATATCTTCGACAGAATTGCTCCCGAAATAAACTAATTTTTATATTTATTGTGCAGAATTGATCCTGGAAAACTTTTTTCTTTCTGCGAACAAGAGAATTGATCCCGATTGACGTGTGTAGTGGTCACATAAGATCCTCTTTCCCAAAACTCTTCGCTGATTTCTATATACTATATATTCAATTCATACTCGCATAGCGGATATTTTCAGTACTGTGAACCTTTATATGTCATTGATAAACCACCAATGAATTGTTCAATTCGATTTTTGCAAATACCTTGAGTTTTGATATAAAACTTAATAAATCAGTTTCGTTTATACACGTAAAAACTAATAGCCATGTCTTTCGAGCCATAGTTTGTTTAATAGTGATAGTAATAGTCAAAAGTGATATGAGTGAAAAAAGTATGAAAAAAGATGTGACCGCTACACATTACTATTGTTTATGTCTCAACGTCGTCTTTACATTCGCACCACACGTCAACCGGGATCAATTCTCTTGTTCGCAGAAAGAAAAAAGTTTTCCAGGATCAATTCTGCACAATAAATATAAAAATTAGTTTATTCCGGGATCAATTCTGTCGAAAATATTTTTTTTCTAAATCCGGGATCATTTCTATTATTTTTATCGAAATTTTAGTATACGGGATCCATTCTGCAATTTTTATGGGATCTTTTCAGCTTTTTTCCTTTTAAAAAATCAAAACAAGAAAATGATCAAAAGTTTTCGACAAAAAGATTCGTATATCATACAACTAAGGTGCCGTATTTCCAATAATCCTTTATGATTTTTGTATCTCAACAATTTTTTTATCCAGTTATTTATGTTGAATCTTTCAGACGATTTGTAGACTCAAAGTTGTAAAAAAAGAAACCGGATCGTTTTTTGCCAATTTTCACTGCTATAAACATAGACCCTTTCTCGTGTAATTTTGACTTCTCAGATGACGAAAAGATAATAAATGTTTTGAAAATACTTTGTAATATTTGATAAATTAATGGAAAAACATGTCAAAAGTAAACTCTTTCTTTTTTGTATGTGTAAATTTGTTAGCAACTTTCTGTTTTATGTGATCATTTTCGTGATTTTTCGTGATGTGATTTTTAACTTTTTACCAGAGAACAATATTGATCTGATTATTGTTTCAATTTTTTTAATGTGTCTGTTCGCTGATCAGGTGAGAAAAAACACAAATGTTAAAACGAGCTTGTCAAATTGTTTTTTGGCTTGCTACGCAGCTGTAGATGAAATAAATAAAATAAAAATCAGTAATAATTGTTTGGACTACTGAAAGTGAAAGAAATCGTGCTATGGAGTACACCTCAAAAGGAAACGACGAAAAATATAGGAAAATTGAAAACTTTTTTAAATCTGAGTACAGCTGTCCCTTACTTTTACTTTGTAATGCCGATTAACCAGCTATTTTTGTTTTGTTTAAAAACTTAGACATGTTGATTTCACTTTTCCATGCGGATTCCTCCTTATTGGGTCATCCATATCCGTTTATTTGTCTATAAAAAAAGCTTTTTGTAAAGCTGCTATATTAAAAATTAGTGGATGCAGTTTGTTGAACGAACATCACGTTTTCTTTTGACGAAAAACGTTTCCTGAGCGAGAAAAATGACTTGAATCTAAAGAATGAAAGTTTTTAGGACACCGTATACTGAGGTGTAGAAACGGATGCGCTAACACTAAATATGTACCTTGTCAAAGTCTATCAAATGATAAAACTGAATCTCAGATAACCCCCTAAAAATATTTTACTGTTTACAACTATTATTATGGTACATCTAGTGTAAGTTTATAATTCTTGAAAATGAATCTTCTAGAATGTAGTATGTAGTGGTTTAATTGCTTTCTTAATTGCTTTCTTAATTGATGTTTTAGATAATGACTATATCAGAATTATTTTTATTGGTGAATTTTTATCCTAAAAATTTTTTTATTGAAAGTTTATACAATGAAAAAAAAAAAAGCTTAGACATACAAGAAAAACTGGGTAAAGATTCGTAATAGGATATCTTCTCCCTAATTTTCAACTTTTTACAGTTAAGTATTATTTTTATTCTACCCAATAGCATAGACATAGTGTTCTTATAAATAAAAATAATCAAACAACTATTATAATATTGAAGCCTATGTACAAAGCAAAAATAGTGAAATGATACATTTCATAAGCACCGGTTAGAGTATACCTGAACAATGATCATGTAAGAATCATTTTATGTAGCTTATTTATCGTTATTTGTCTATTTAAAAAACAAGTAATTTATATACATATAATTGTACTAATGAATGTTTTTTTTACTATTATATAGTGGTTTGACATCAATCAAAGCCTTACGCAATTTATCACTAGACAAACGTTCATTACATAATATAATTTTTGTTATAACTGATGAACGATTTCTTAATATACCATTAGGACGAGAAGTTTTCTTTTTTACAGAATAATGTTGAGAAGTTTTTTTCCGTGATACAATATTATTTATGGATAAATTTGTTGATGAACTGCTATTAGATAATGTGGGAGAATTTGAATTACTACATACACTTCCATTATTATTTGAAATTGTTGTTTTTATTGTCATTGGATCCGATGACTGATGATGAATATTTTCATTTTTATTATTTAGTTCAGATGCCCAAACGTCTTGTGGCCATCCAGTTCTACCTTTATTTTTTCTTGGTGAGATATCATTGTTATACTAAAATAAAACAATATACACAATTAGATAAATATTTTTATCAATAATTAATCCTAATAAAAAAATTTTTGTTTTTTTAAGTGGTTCTATATAAGATAAGAAGTTTTTTCATTTCAAATAGATATTATTCATTATAATAAACTTAACAGACGTTTTTTTTGGAGAAATTTCATAGCGGCGACGTTCGCAAACATCTAGGATTTATTGTTTGTAATTATGTCTCTATTGTTTCATATATTTATTCACCAAATCATCGTTAAACTTCGAACGCTGATAAATATTTCTTTTTTATATTTACGCTACGTTTGTTTCTATCACAATATCAAAAGCATAGAGGTGGTATTAAACGGAATTTACATTTTTATAAATTAAAAAAGGCATTGGAGATTCTTTGATTTGTGAACATAATATAGAAACACTGTTAATCTTTCGAACACTAGCGATTTTTTTTTGGCATTTATTTATCTGATTAATCTTTACGCTTCAATACTCTTGTCAAACACCAAAGAAAACAGAGTATAGGACTACTTTTTCACCTTTGAGCCATACGTCAGTTTTCTATTGTTAAAACGATACACGTAACACCGATTCGTGTTCGAACTCGCTTGTTACGACTTTGCGATGATTGATTTGATTAATAAAAATACATTATTTTTATTGTACAAATAGTTGAGTGATACACTCTTTGACTTTATAATTTATTTCTATCTCTGCTGTTGGTAGTCTGAGGAAAAGATTTTTTGAGCTCATCTTGTGAATGAAAACGTCTAATAGGCTGTTAACTACTATGGAAATCATTTAATATTTGATGAAAACTATAGGAAGTTTGTTCAAATTTAAAACGTCTGTTAAACCCTGCATATTAGATGTGCGAGTAACAATAACATTATCAACAAGTTCTGTAAAAATCCTGTTACTAACCTTAATTTCTCTATGATCTTTTCGTGTTTTAGTAATATCTGCTTTAAATGCCAATGGTGTAATGTTCGGATCATCTTTCGATAATATGTCCATTAAATATTCGATATATTTTGTTGCTAATTTTAATGTTTTTATTTTTGATAATTTTGTATCGGATGGTACATTCGGGATGCATCCACGTAAATCGGAAAATGCTGTATTTATGCTTTGTGTGCGACGTCGTTCTTTTTTATTTGCTGATACACGTCGTTTAAAACATCTTGGACTTCCATTCGGTGACCAAATGGTATAATCGTACGGATAAATTGAATATGAATCGAGATCATGTGGGAGTGGATCATCAAGTTGAAAAGTAGCATCAATATCGATATTTGACTGATAATTAGACGACATGTAATTGTTTGAATTGTTATTTGGAGATGAATAAGATCGACCACTGCCATATGGATGGCATCGGACATCTGAACGAGGAGAACTGTAAACTAATGGCTCAGAGTTTGTAACAAAATAATCATTGAACATTGTTATTATCTAAATACATACAAAAACAGCGTATTCACCAGTGAGTGCATTTGATATTAGATACATCGGTCACACAACGTATATCAAAAATTAGTTTTAGGTTGACGAGTACAAAATACTGTCATGGATGATTAACCCTTTCTTCCTACAACTTTTATACTGTGACAAATGGAATACGAACATGTTTTGATTAAGTTTAGCTATTTTTTGAAAAAATTTTGAATTATTAAAAATCTATTCTTGCTAATTCAAAACTATGATCGGTTTCTCAACTGAGATATATTTTATAAAATATGGACTTCACAAATTTCTCAACTGAGATACAATTTTGATATGTACGTTGACACGTGCTATTGTGCAAGAGTGCAGTGTACGAAAGTCTATTATTCAATAGTGAATGAAATGAAATTAGATACAGGGGCGTCAATTCTATGAGATGTTTGAGGCGCAATGCCTCAAGTAAAAGTAAAGTGCGACGGTTTTTTGCTGTAGAAATTCATTTCTCAGATGGCACACTGAGAGATCGACCCTATGTGTATTTTCATCTCCATGGATTCTCAACTGAGATACTTAATTAAAATATGGATTATATCTCAGTTGAGACGTTACGAATAAAATGATTTCTTGAATGACCAGATTAGTCGAATAAAAAACATGAAGTTTCTTTATTTTGAACATACCGTATCTTGTTTGTTTTTAAACTTTTTCTTATAATTAGTCGTAGGTATTCGTGTAGAATAATCAAACACTAATAAATTTATTAAAATATATTGTTCATGAGTTAACTTATCGACTTATCACGGAAAGAACGAACAAAAACACATTTTTTCAGATAAAAGCAAATGACTTCCCAATTTCTCTCTTTTTTTTTCTTCTAAGAGGAAAAAAAACAATTTCCCTTTGGTCTATATACATATTTTCGTATTCTGTTCTGACTAAAAAAATCATCCGATTGGTTGATACCTAATATTGAGTCCATTCACCTTTCTCGCACACTAATTCTTATTTTTCTCTTCTTCTTTGCGAAATGAATAAATACTGCATGAATAAATAAGAGAGAATGTTTTTCTCTTTGATCAACGTGCAGAGTAATAAAAAATAGGGTAATGCAATCAGAAATACAAAATGTTCGGTCTCTATACCAGTTTTGTTGAATACAGATGGTACCAAAATTATCCGTATAGTAAAGAATGTTTGCTTTTCTCGCTCAATAAAAACTTTGGAGAAATGCAGTCAATTACTGGCTTCCTCGGTAAAATAGTTGAAAATTTTTTTTTTCAAAGTTTGTAGTTTCAGCTACGAAAACGGGACTCTAGCAGCCGCCGAGCGTTCAGATCTTTGAAAAAGGAAAATATCTTCGGCATGAAAAGTTTAGAGGCTTTTTGAACATACCATCGAAACGAGTGAAACAATCGGAGCAAAATAGATTCATTCTAGAGATACCTCAGCTTCCCATCTAAAAAGCTTTTTTCTTGTGCAAGATTGTAAAAGAGAGTTGGCTCCTAAAAACGGACCCTACTTGACACTTGATCACATTTCTTTAAAAGATATAAGCAACGAGAAACATTTGATGATACAATACACTGTTTTGACACTTTTGGTAAATGAACACTCGTAGATTCGGTTCAAAATAGACATGTATCATGTCATCAAATTTTTCTGCTACATCTCTCAATAAATTGCTTGTTCATGCGCATTCTCTTTTCAAAAGAATGTGATCGAGGTCAGGGAAAAGTTTGTAGAGCAAATATCTGCATCAGAGATCAGCATGGGTCGGGCTTGGCCCGCAAAGTATTTTGGCCGGGTCGGGCCGAACTCAAAATTTTTAAGCATGCGTGGATTTATAATTTATGTGTATACTCAGTATCGAGAAAGAGTATTATCACTGTTCCGCGGCATCTTAATGACTTCGTTTAGCTAATGTCTCTAAAGGTTAAAAAATGAAAATTATCTAAAATCAACAAAAAAAAAAAATTCCACTTTTGATCCAGCCAAGTCGGGCTTGGTCTGGAAACTCTCATCAATCGGCTCAATTTTTTGGTCTGTGCCGATCTCTGATATGCACGACTACTAAGCTTGTTAAACACAGTAGAAACATATAAATTTATTTTATAAAGTGTATAACGGTTGATATTATGGTGTTTGTATACCACTAGTCAATGCAAAAGAAAAGGGTGACTGACTGTCTAAGTATTTGACTAAAGCAAGTCATATAAACGACACTTGAAGAGTTCTTGTTTACGTACTTGCTTAGTGCTTAACTTGTTAGTACTTTCCAAGTACTCATTAAGTAATCAAGTACTTATACCAAGTACATTCGCTAGGGTAAAGACAACAGTTGTCTTATATCAAGTTTAATTTCAGCCAGTGGATAAAAGTATAACAGTGTCTATAGTCTATTTTTTACACCTAGAGCATCGGGAGTCAGCGCTTATGGAAAGTGAGTGTTTGAAATAATAATTACGAATTCATCGTCTTTTGGATGTAATAAATACTGAAAACAGGTCAGATATAAACAAAAACAGACTAATTTTTAATTGAAAAGGTAAAAAACTGAGCTTTGAAACTACGTTCTTTTGATAGACATTTACCAGATATTTTAGCCATGTTAACCAGAAATATGATGAAATTTTCAAGCCATCATAATTAGCCCAGGCTAGTCTATTTTCTAGGTAGGAGCAAAAATAGAACGATGATTTATTTGTTACTATAGAAGAAAAATGTGATATTTTGCTTTTCAAGTATAACATGAATCCGTTATAGGAAAAAGTAATTGAATATATATTTGTTTATCATATACAACGTTTCGAAAACTAACCTAATATGGCTATTGTTAATCGTTAAATGTTATTCTTTCTAATTGAATGGAGATAATTCACTTATGCACATGTATAACGTAGTGAAATTGATTTTTTTTCTGGCAGTGTTTGTTTAGATTACGTTGACGATTACGTTTGATGTTTTTTTACTATGTAATGACGATAGTGGTGCTTCAAATAGACGATTATCATTGATATGTGGGGTTTTTTTCTTGCTCTCTCGTATATGATGATCATGTTTATGTTTCGGTCTATTTCATTCAGTATATGAACTTCACAACATCACAATGTGATTAAAGCTACTGTTTGCCTAACTTGAATTGCTTGAAATTGAGATGAGATGATATTATCGTCATCGATTGAGGATGAGGAAGCGGTAAAATATAAAAACATGCAGGAAGCCAAACATACTGACAATGAATAGTTTCTTCCACCATCTGCGGATATTATTGGAAGTTATTTAATTATTAGCAATCAGTATGAGATTATCTTCGATGCTCTAAACCCTGGAAAATTTTCATTTTTTCTTGCGTTCCGTATGGTTTTTCGATTCCATTACAAATTTGACCAATTAAAAACAGAACGTCTTTTTGTTTAATAAATTTTATTTTCCAATTGAATGATATGCATGGAATTTTGCATTTTTTCTTTACCGTTCTTTTACCGCACCGTAAACTAAAGCCAGAAGATCGAAACATTTATATTATCAAAATATAGTGGAATAAAAGATACTTTTTATTGAACATTTAAATTTGTATTTATAATTTTTCAATGTGTCGTTTACAGATAAGCTCAATCTAGTACTTTTCAAACAAGGGTCTCGACTTATTCTCGCTCAAAAAGTCAAAATTTTTAGCAAAATATGTCCTAGAGACTCTCGTGATTTTACTTGAAATAATTCAGTAGCTGTTGAGCAAACTTAGGTCTGCTCATATTCAACGAATTTTTTGATCATTTAATTTTCAATCCAAATCTTATTTTATATAATCGATTTCACATGGATATTAACAACAAAAAAAACGTTTTAGGAGCTAAAATAAAAGAAACAGGTAAAATTTGGGCTTATTTTCAAAAAATTTCGGTCAGTTTTGCTAAACTTCAAAAATTGAATATTGTTAACATTTCTCGTGTAAAAATGATTTTCAGAGAATTACAACTGACATTATTCTACGCAACTCGACGAGATCTATTCAATCATGTTAAAAGAAAAAAATATATTTTGTTTTATTTTTTGATTACCGACACACCCTATACTTACTCGTTTGTCTGAAAAACCTGTCGGTTCTATTTCTTACCCTAGTGAAAGTACTCATACGATGAGTACGACTTTACTCATAATTCGTCCATGAGTACTCATATTGGTACTACTAACAATTTCTGAGTATTGTTACTCAGTGAGTACTCAGTTACTCATGTGA